TTAGGTCATGTAATCCATGATGGTCTCCAATTATGTGTATCTAACTGTTTCTTTCTCTTCAGTGCTGGGATCAAACTCTTGTGTATTCGTACCCAGATCATTCAATAGATGTTCAGTTATCCTTCCTGTCTTCTGAAACCACCCCATCTGATTACTGTGTCTGGCTCCCCTTTGATTATTCTGAACTGAACTCCTGTGTGCAAGCATTTTTGGAGTTACATGTTTTTCCTTGTATCCCTTGAGTCACTGTGCTTCTTATTGTTCCCCTTACCACACCATGAATAATAATGTGGGCTTTTCTCTACCTCAGTGTTTCCCAGTGGGGCTACCCAGTGGCCCAGAGTTTTGTGTTTGCCATCGAGGAGATTAATAGGAGAGCTGACTTGCTGCCCAATTTGACCCTGGGCTTCTCCATTCGAAACTCTGGGGATTCAGTGCATGGGGTCATCCATGAGACGCTCAGCTTTCTCACGAGGCAGGAGGAGCCCATCCCCAACTACATCTGCCAGCATGGCTCTCCTCAGGTGGCCCTGATCGGGGCCACAAGGTCTGTCTCCATGGACAGTCTTCTGGGGTTTTACAGGTTTCCCCAGGTAAGTTACTCCAAGCTTTCTTCGGTCATAAATGTGATGCAATTAGTTAATGATGATAGTGAAAATGATGGTGATGGTCATGGTAGTGAGCAGCTCTACTGTGGAGACAGTATCCTTGCAAAGTTTCTCTATGTCCAACATAATTCTCTTCCATGGGTAAATTACGTGGAGAGAACTATCATCCTTCTCAATGATGAGAGAACTGAAAAATTTTCTTCTTATTATTTTAAAAATAATTTTTTTATTTTTTAAAGTGTAAGTTTATATTTCATATATATATGCATATTAATGCACATATGTAACATCATAGACATACACACAATCCCCCCCCCCAGTTTTCCATAGACATTCAGAAGAGGGTGGTGGATTCCCTATGACTGGAGGTACAAATTTTTCCTCCCTGCCACAATTGTGTTGACATTTGAATCCTGGTCCTCTGAAAGAGTAGCTAATACTGTTAATTACTGCTCCAACTCTTCAGCTTCTTATTATACCTATATGTCTGTATGTGTGTGTGTTTGTGTGCTTGTGTGTTTGTGTATTCATTTAAGCACTCAACACCAGTACAATGTTGTTCATGTGATCATCAGAGCACAAATTTAGATTAATTTTTCTGCTACAATGTTGAATTTGGGGATTAAACTTATGTCTTTGAGGCTTGATTGCATACACATATACCTAAGCTCTCAGAGAAAATCAATCAATCAATCAATCAATCAATCAATGAATCAATCACACAAACAAACAAACATACTACTCCAATTTATCATAATGTTGCCTGGATGTACATACCTGGAATTTGAATCTAGGTAATTGGGCTCTTACCACTTGCTCCTGTCTACAGGCTATTCCCTGTAACCCAGGCATCAGTGTCATTCCCACAAGGGTGACCATATCTGGCAATCATCTCTTCAGTTCATAATTTTAAGAGGTGACTTGAGGATAATTTATCCATCGAAGGAGAACATTTTAGTGGCTTTTTTTAGCATGATACCCAAAGTAGATTTGAGAACATTTTCATCCTCCTGGAAAAAGACATTCCTGTGAAGCCCATTGGTATAACATCCCAGCATTCCTACCTGAAGAAGACCTCCTGAAATTTGTCTTCTTATCTTCACATGCGTGTGTGTATGCACAGACACACAGACACACACACACAGATCACACACACACACACACACACACTTTAAAAACAACAACATAACAGCTGTGTGAAAACAATAGAGTCAGATCAAGTCTAGCCAAGGTGTGGGAACAAAACATTAGGGGTCAGGTGAAGGACATATGTGTGTGGTACACGCCTATGGGCTCATATGTGTTTCTACATGCAGGCGTATGTGGTCGGGTGTGCACTCATGTGTATATATTTGGGAAGGTATAAGGATGATGTGAGAAATCTTGCCTTCACTGTTTTGCCTCATTTTTTTGGGCAGGGTCTCTCACTCAACCTCACATTCTGAGAGGAGAGCAGGTAAATCTGTGGTTCCAGCCTTCATTCCAGAAGCCACTGGGCTGTGTCAGGGATTATTGGCCAGTGAGTGGCACAGAGCAGCTTGCAGAACCAGCACAATTTTAAGGCAGGAGGCTTAAGTCTTTTCCTGAACATTGTGTATGTTTTAAAATTTAATATACATTCGTGTGTGTGTGTGTGTGTGTGTGTGTGTGTGTGTGTGTGTTTTGAGTATATGAAGAGATCCTGTACACAGCCAGGAAAGGGTATCTGATTTCCTGGAGCTGGTGAAACAGGCAGATATGCAGATCCTGATGTTGATCCTGGGAATCAAACTTTGGTCCTCTGTAATACCAGCAGGGTCTTTTAACTGTAGACCCATGTCTCCACTCCTTCCTACATTGGATCCAGACCATCAGCCCACATGGAAAGCTCCAATTTCATCCACTCTTGTATTTCCTGTCTCTTCCTTGACAGGTCAGTTATGGATCCTCACTACCCAGCATCAGTGACAACATTCAGTTTCCATCTATCCTGGGCACCCTGACTAGTGACCTCAAGGCCTGTCGTGCAGTGACTCAGTTGGTAATTCACCTTCAGTGGTCTTGGGTGATCATTCTAGCCCATGATGATGACTTTGGGCAGCAGGCCAGCTCTCTGGCCAATCAGGAGTTGAGCCCAGCTGGTGTGTGTATTGAATCCACAATCTATGTCTCTTCCCATGAGTCCTTGAGGAAGATAGAAGAGATTTTCCAGAAGATTCAAAAATGCACAGCCAGAGCTGTTCTGGTTTTTCTAAACATTGTCAATTTCCAAATAATCCTGTATGGCTTACTGGGCATCCATACTTCAGGCCAGGTCTGGGTCAGCAAGGACACTATGCTCATGGCTCTCGCCCTGACCATTCCAGATGTTTCCCAGGTACTGCATGGCACATTTGGCCTTCTGTTTCACAGCAGCAGGGCAATTGGCTTCCCTGAATTCCTTGCCAACCTGCGCCCCAGTCAGACTCCAGAGGATATGTTCATAAAGAAGTTCTGGGAGTTCACCTTTGATTGTGTATGGTCTCACCAGAGCAGCACAGTGAGTGAGGGTGTCCAACAATTGTGCTCAGGGAATGAGAGTCTGAAAAACAAGCTGTACCCTTTCCAAGAAGTTAGTAAGATGGATGCTGCTTACATATGTGTCTATAGCATTGCCCATGCCCTGCAGGACATGATAGAAGGTGAGCACCAGCATGGGAAAGGTACAGACTCTCAGGACTTCCATCCCTGGCAGGTGAGAGGGGCATGTGTGCAGTGTGTGATTCAGCGATGGATGGGGAAGAGGACTTTGGTTCAAACTGAACTGTTGAGCTGAGGCTGACTGTAGGCTTCATCCAGGATTCCTCATACTTGAAACAGTGAGGCACCTTAAAAGGAACAATGGACAAGGATTCCATGGTGTCTCTTTAGTCTCAAATGAGTACTAAATTCCTGTGTATTTCCTGAATTAACAAATAGAGGATGTCTAGTAAAATTTAATGTTTCAGATAACACTAAAGACATTTTATTGATATCCTAAATTTATACTTTTATAAACTGTGTAAGAGTTTTACTATACTCATGCTGCAAATCAGTATTTCTAACACATATCAAATGTCATTTTTTTATTTTTCCTTCTTTTGGGGTGTGGTACATATGTCTGGGCATTGGTTTGTGTGTATGCAGGCACCAGTGGTGGCCCTGCACACTCACATGGGAAGGTCTGAGAATGATGAGGAATCACCTTTCAATTACTCACCTATGTTATCCTTTGTGGCAGGATGTCTCACTGAAATCCAGAAATTGTTGATGTGTCTTGTTTTGGTAGCCATCTTGTTCTGGCCATCTCCTGTCTCCACCTGTTTTTTGTTTGTTTATTGTTTGTTTGTGTGTCTGTACTATATCTTTAGTGGAGTAATTTTTAATTGAGTTATACATTTTCCTCACTCCTCTACCCTCCTGCCTTCCCCCATTTCATCCTCCCCTATACCCTTGCATTCCCTATTTACTCAGAGAATCTTATCTTTTTTCCCATTCCTAGGCTGATCCATGTGTGTCTCTTAGGTTCCTCTTTGTTACCTAGGCCCTCTTTGGTTGTGGACTCTAGGCTGGTTGTCTTTTGTTTTATGTCTAATATCCAATTATGCGTGAGTACATACTATATTCGTCTTTCTTGGTATGGGTTACCTCACTCAACATGTCTTTTCCCAGTTCCAACCATTTGATTGCAGTTTTCAAGATGGCAATTTTTTTTTACAGCTGAGTAGTACTCCATTGTTCCTTACCCATTCTTTGGTTGAGGGACATGTAGGTTTTTTAAATGTTCTGGCTATTATTGATAATGCTGCTATGAACATTTTTGAGTAAATGATCTTGTGGTATGAATGAGCATCCTTAGTGTATATGCCCAAGAATGATATTGCTGTGTCTTGGGTAGAATTATTCCCAATTTTCTTAGAAACCATTTTGCAGGTTTCCAAAAAGGTTGTACAAGTTTGCACTCCCATCAGAAATGCAGGAGTGTTCCCTTTTTTCTACCTCCTTTCCAGCTTAAGCTGTCAGCAGATTTTTGTTTTTAGCTATTCTGATCAATGTAAGATGGTATCTAAGATTCGTTTTGATTTGCATTTCTCTGATGACTAAGGATGTTGATCATTTCATTAAGTGTCTTTTGGCCATTTGAAATCACTGTGTTGAGAGCTTTCTGTTTAGAGGCGTATCCCATTTTTTATTTGATATTTGATGTCTAGTTTTTTCAGTTCATTGTTTTTTTTTGTTTTTTGTTTTTTTTTTATGAGACAGGGTTTCTCTGTATTGTTTTGGAGGCTATCGGTCCAGCCCAGCCTCGAACTCACAGAGATCCGCCTGCCTCTGCCTTCCGAGTGCTGGGATTAAAGGCGTGCGCCACCACTGCCCGGCCAGTTCATTGTTTTTGACATTAGTCATTCATCAGATGTTGGATTAGATGTTCAGGTATTTTCCATTCTGTAGGGATCCATTTTTTTTGTTGATCATGTCCTTTGCCTTACAGAAGCTTCTTAGTTTCAGGAGGTCCCATTTGTTGTTATATCTGTGTTATCGTTTTTATATTTGGCAAGTTGTCTCCTGTGCCAACACATCGACACATCGAAGGCTACTTCTGACTTTCTCTTCCATGAGTTTCAGTGTGGTTGGCTTTATTTTGAGGTCTTTGATCCATTTGGACTTGAGTTTTGTGCAAGACATTAGATATGGATCAATTTCCATTTTTCTATGTATCAGCCTTGAGTTATGCCAGAACCATTTGTTGAAGATACTTTCTTTTTTCCATTGTATAATTTTAGTTTCTTTATCAAAAATTAGGTGTTCATAGGTGTGTTGACTGATATCAAGGTTGATGCTTCAAGGACTCTTTCTCAACAGTTAACACACACACTCTCTCTCCCAGCTTGAGGATGATCTCTCTCTCTCATCTGCTGGCTCTTCTCTCAGTATCTTTCTCTGTGTCTCTCCCTGTCTCTCTCTCTCTGTCCATAGTTATGAGCCTTTGCGTCAGCTGCTGACATGGTCTATTCTCTCCACCTTCTCAGATTGTAATTAGAAATGAGCTGCTACATACCCTTGACATTTAGTTGGGTTCTGAGGTTTGAATTCCCATTCTCAAGGTTTTATGACAAATGTTTTAATCACAGAGCCATCTCACAAACCCTCACTTATTTTTCTATTTTAAAAATAATATTGATATTACCATACATGTGTAGAATACATTTTGATCATGCCCAAGTCTTTAACTATCTATCAGTCTATCTGTCTGTCTATTTTATCTGTCTATCTATCTATCTATCTATCTATCTATCTATCTATCTTTTGCAAGTGAATCAGGGGTATCATAGGTTCAAGTTTGTAAGACGACCCCTAGAAGCTATAGTGCTCACTGATGAGGTCAACAGTGAGAGTGGTGGCCAAGGAGGGGGTTTGTTTTTATTATCGTTGTTCAGATGACCGAAATTTCCACTGTGTGTCTGGTGAAGTTACATGTCATTGTAAACTTGAAGGACAGTGATAGTTGTTGGCATTTTGGCTGAGGGTAACAGATTAAAATTTACAGGAGGATTCTTGCTGGACCATACCTGTTATGCTAGGATGTTGCGGCCAACCTGGTCTACAATATAAGATCCTGTCAGAAAAATCTGTGAGTGTTGAGATGTCTGTGTGTACTCTATGATGAAGACATAAGGTAGATGGAGTGAGGAGTAAGTGAATGGAAGTGACAGGCCCAAGAAATCATCTCTGTCAGGAAACATGAATTCCAAACAAGAGGATGAGAAGTCCCACCATCAGAAGAAGTGATGTCATTGCAGAAGGCAGGGACAATATGCATCAAGACCCCAGAATGAAGAGAAATATAAGACCCACATGGGATGCACTGATTAATTGTCAGAGATCAGACAGAGTAATTGGGTGGTCTAGGTGGGCTGGGACCAGTTTTGCTCTGGTTCGGAGTCTACTGAATGTGATGAGGAGGCTGAAGACAGTAGTTCAAGGCCAAATGAGACCCTGTTTGTGGGTTTAATTTTAAGGCTGTTGAGAAATCTTAGTGGGTAAATGCACTTTTCCCCAAGTATAAGTTTGATTCCTGAGTACCACTTGGCAGCAGAAGGTGAGAACATTCCTGTTCTCTGGATTCCATAACACGAATTTGCTGTACACACACACACACACACACACACACACACACACACAAGCACCACCTACACAACCCCCACACTCTCAGAGACAGAGAGAGAAAAAGAGAGTGGGAAAATGTACTATGTTTAAAAATGATGTGGATTAGTTTTATGAATGATTACTTTCTGAAAGCTAAAACATCTTCCTGAGTTCCTGAAAAATAACACAGATAATGGGGCCAGTCCATGGTTGAAATGACTCTATCACTGCATATTGATGGCATATGATATTTTGGACAAGACTCCAGACTGGTCCTGGTTGGTCTACAATGTCTCCTTTCCTTCTTCAGCTTCTTCATGCCCTCAGGAAGGTCCACTTCAAAACTCCTGATGGAAGTGAAATTATGTTTGATGTCAATGGAGATTTGGTGACAAAATTTGACATTTTCCAAGGGCAAAAGACCCCCCAGGGTGTATTTCACTTGGTCCATGTAGGAATGATAGACTCTCAAGTCTTTTCGGAGAATAAAATATTGATCCATTTGAAGGAGGATCTTCAAGTGAGTTGCCTGTATGCTCAGTTGACTATTTTCCTAGTATCTTAAAGTCATAAGGAAATTCCAATTCTAGGAGTCCCCTTGTTACATGTGTATGAAGACAATGCAGTTCTGGATTGGGTCAGTCAATTATAACTGGATATGCTGTTCATCTCATAAAAGTTCTTTCTCTGAATGATAATGGCTCATAAGCAAAAAATGAAAATATAAAAGCTGGGTATTGGGAGATGGTTCAATGGTTAAAGTATTTGGTGTGCAAATACAAGGACCAGACTCTGGATTTCCAGAGTACAGAGTGGGCAGTGTGTCCTTCCTGTAGGCATCTTCTTCTTCAGGTTGGAAAAGATTTCTTCTGTGATTTTGTTGAATATGTTTTCTGCACCATTAGGCTGGGCTTCTTTGCCTTTTTCTATACCTATTATTCTTAGGTTTGGTCTTTTCACAGTGTTCCATATTTCCTGGATATTTTGTGTTAAGGATTTTTTTTGGATTTAAGGTTTTCTTTTGTCGATGAATCTATTTCCTCTAATTTATCTCCAGTGCATGAGATTCTGTCTTCCATCTCTTGTATTCTGTTAGCTATGCTTGCATCTGTAGTTCCTGATCGTTTATTCAGCCTTTAATTTTCCAGAATTACCTCAGTTTGTGTTTTTCTTATTGTCTCCATTTCAGTTTTCAGGACGACCTGTTTTAATTGTTTCTTTTTCATCTGTTTCATTGTTTTTTTTCTTGGCTTTCCTTGCTTTCTATAAAAGATTTGTGAATTTCTTGCATTTTTGATTTTTTTCTTCCATTTCTTTAAGGGATTTTCTCATATTGTCTTTGATGGTTTCTATCATTATCTTGAGGTTGTTTTTAAGGTAATTCTCTTCTGTTTCTTCTGCGCTGGGATGGTCTGATCTTGCTGGTTTAAACTCTCGACACTTTTGCGGTGTCATATAGGTTTCTTTAGTGTTGGATATATTCTTATACTGTCTTCTTCCCACCTCTTCTTCCAGTTGGCATAGGGGGAGTCTCCCCTCCTGGTGGGTATGGGTTTAGGGATGTATCCTCTACTCTTTGTCTCTGTGTGTGTGTGTTTCTCTCTCTCTCCCTCCCTCCCGCTCTCCCCCCTCTCTTTCCTTCTCTCCCTCACTCTCCCCCCCCCTCTGCTATAATATTGAGGGGCAAGACCAGAATTGCGGCTGATGATGGTGGCTGCTTTCTCCTGATTCCAGGTCCCTCTGCGGGGTTCGGCGGTCCCATTCTTCTTGCTCCTCATTCTCTACCTCCAGATTTCTCCTTCTATTTATTCTGTTCCCTACAGCCCCACCTATCCTTCTCCTGCCTTGTTTTTATTGGCCATTCAACACCTTATTAGACCATTTAGGTGTTTTAGACAGGCGAAATAACACAGCATAACCGAGTTAAAGAAATGAAACATACAAGAATGTACTGCATGTTTGCATCATTAAGCAAATGTTCCACAGCATAAACAAATGCAGCACAGCTTAAAATATCCTACAGGAGACCGTGACATCTCTTATGAAGGAAACACATTTAATTGGGTGGCTTACATTTTCAGAGTTTTACTCCATTGTCTTCTTGGTGCAATATGACGGCGGCACGCAGGCAGACATGGTGCTGGAGAAGGAGCTGAAAGTCCTAGATCTTGACCTGCAAGCAACAGGAAGTGACTGGGTCACTGGGTTACTTAAGCATATAAGATAACCCACAGAGCCCACCTTGACACGGACAAACTTTCTTCAGCCAATCCACACCTATTCCAAAAAAGCCACGTCTCCTAGTAATGCCACTCCCTTTGAGCTATGGGGGTCATTTACACTCAAGCCACCATAGTCATTTGGATGGCATCATTCCTTAAATACCCCTATCATGTAGCCAGTGGACCAACTCAGAAGCCTTTGGGAAACAGTTGAGATTGAAACCCTGACATTTATTTAAAAAATTAGAAGCAGTGTTGAGATAGGTGTGTCTGTATATGGAGTTTGGTGTATGGAAATATCTCAGCTTTCTGCCATATGAGAGTCGACAAAGAGTCCCCTAGTCTGACACTTTGCCTGACTTTGTTTTGATGGCATCTCCAGTTAATGGTGGTCTTAAAGCTCTCCACATGAGAATGAGGTTCCTGTACTTAGGTTTCTCATGCATAAAGGACACATGGCAAGTATTTGCAGGATTCTTTTGAAGAACCTTTCAGTGGTCTTGATCTGGGGAGGGTTTTCTGCTGTCTTCTGTTGTGGCAGAGATGTCAGCACTCCACACTTCCACCTTCATAACCCTTGCCTGGAAGTAGAGATATGCTAAGAGAAACTGAGTCTTCCTTGGCAGGCCCAAGGTAAATAAGAGGACCACTGAGTGTGCTGTGATAGTTTGTGTGTGTGTGTGTGTGTGTGTGTGTGTGTTTGTGAGTGTGCGTGTGTTGAATGAGTCATTACTTATAATATGTCCTTTACTGAAGCTGGATTGTACTTTTTTATTAGTGACACATGTAAACCTCAGAAGCTTCACAGATGGAGACTGAGGAAAGGAATATTGACTGTCATGTCTTCTGAGTTAGATCTGAGTCCATCAAGTAATCAGTAGGCAGTCGGGAGCTTCAGTGAAAGAGAAAAAATGCATCAGAAAATTTTGCCTAGGTTATGGACTTTTGTAATGACTTCAAATACTTAGAGTTCTTTTTTAGGTTTTATTTTGTATTTTTGGAAGTTTCCCAGCATGTATACTTATATAGCATATGCATGCCTGGTACCGGTGCAGGCCGGACTAGGGCACTGTATCCTCTGGAACTGGAGTTAGTATGAGCTGCTATATGAGTGTTTGGACTTGAATTCTGTTCCTCTGGAGGAGCCGCCTGTGCTCTGAACAACTGAGCCTTCTCTCCTGACTCCATACCTTCAATTGTTGAGGAGGCTGCCCCAGAGAGACTGGAGAGACAACACATCAAACTGGTTTTCTATGTTTTCTAATCTGTTTGTCAAGAGACCTGATGTAGCCCTTCCTCTCTTACACTCAATGGTTCCTGTCCAGTCTGACATCTCCTGGGATAGACATGTTTTCGGGAAGGCCTCTCATTAAGTAGCCTTCATGGAAACTCTCCTGTTTTGGTTCTCAGAGTGAGGTCTTTCATCTGTGTTCCTGTAGAGTCACCGGTGACACTATGCTCTCTGTTACTAGGTGCCCACCTCTGTGTGCAGTAAAAGCTGCCTTCCAGGGTTCAGCCAAGTGCCTAGGCTGGGAGCCCCCCAGTGCTGTTTTGATTGCAGTCCTTGCCCGGAGGGACAGTTCGCAGACCAAAAAGGTGAGGACATGTAGAGCTGGCATCTGAGGAGTTAACAGGACACTGTGAGCCTACAGCATTTGTCCATTGTCTCCTTTATTGTTCTCCTGCTGTGAAGAGACTCCATGACCAAGACATCTTCTAACAGAAAAACATGCAAGTGGGGCTTCCTTAAAGTTTCAGGGGCTGAGTCCATGACCACCATGGGAGCAAGCATGGCATCAGACAGGCAGGCATGGCTGTAGAGCAGCCACTGAGATGTTACATTGTGATCCCCAGGCAGCAGGCAGGTACAGAGATGGAGAATTGGCCTTGTGTGGGAGTTTGAACTTTCAAAGGCCACCCTCATTGACATTCCTCATCCAACAATGCTATACCTCCTAATCCATTCCCAACAATTCACCAATTAGGCATTAAACAATTAAGTATATGGGCCTATTGGGATCATTCTCAGCCAAAGTATCACACCCATTCGTTTATTGATGGTACCTAGTCTGTGCTTTCTGTGGAGTACCGGCTAGAAATCTCGTCTCATAGTTGTTCATAGGTCAATGGTGTATTGACACAGGAAAGTGAATGAACACCAGTTGTGCTGCATAATGAATTCTCCTCTAGCCAACACTGCACATACATGAACCCTGGTCAAGGAACCACCTTAAGCTACTTACATTCAAAACCCCCTATGAGTGGAATTGCATGGTAGTTGTCCTTTTTTGATGATCTTCTTCCTATGTATTAGTGGAGTTCATCTCAGGGGTTGAATGGCAATAGTCCACAACATGCGCAGCTGTTTGAACTATGGAACATATTCCATTACAGTTCTGCAAGCTGGAAATGAAAAGCCAAGTCATCATTTGAGTTGGTTTTGTGTGAGTCCTCACTCTTGCCCTGGCACAGTCCACAGTCTTCCACTCACTGTATGGTGTCTGTTTGTCGTGTGTGTGTGTGTGTGTGTGTGTGTGTGTGTGTGTGTGTGTGTGTGTGTACTTGTAACTATTTTTGGGCTTGTTGCTTGGTTTTGAGACACTGTCTCACCATACAGCCCTGGCTGGTTTGTAATTGTGGGAGTTGACTCATTTGCCACTAAACTAATAGAAGACTGTCTGCATTTGTCCCTCAAGTGCTGAGATTAAAGTCTTGTTATCCAAGCTCCAAGTTCTTCTTTTAATTAGGGTAGCAACCGTTGGTAGTAGGTTCTCCACTGGTGATGTCATTTGGCGTTTATTACATCCTCTCAAGTTTACCCAATAGAAAATATATTTGTGTTTAGGACAGGCCTTCAAAACATGTGTTTTGAGGCCATATGCCATTCTAAAACATTTGTTAACATGATTATTGGCTGATCCTATTGGAAAGAAATGAACTGTTAGAAATTCACAAAAGAGACCATGTCTAGTGTCACCTTTCTTCAGTCCCAGCACTCAGGAGGCAGAGACGGGAAGATCTTTGGGGAATGTTGTCGGCCAGTATCATCAACTTAGTGATCATCAGTTTTAATGAGGGATCCTGTCTTAATAAATAAGGTAAAAAGTGGACTGGAGAGGTGGCTGCACAGCTGGGGCCATGCACATGGCGGCTAACATCCAAGTGTAACTCCAGTTATAGGAGAAATGATGACATCTTCTGATTCCCCAGGAGCCAGCCATGCACATGGTTTCCATAGAAATGTACAGAAAAAACACTCAGCAAGTAAAATAAAACAAGTAATTACAAAAGAATGAGCTGCGGAGACTGGTGAACTGGACCATTCACTAGTGAACTGAAGCATTCACTGTCAATTCTGACAGCGTAAGTTCAGCTCCTGGGTCCCACATGGTCGAAGGAGAACAGCAAATTCCTGAAGGTTGTTGTTGCAAGCCTGGCATGCCTCAGTCCAGAGAGAGTCATGCACACACCATAATATACACATAAGTTTGATTAGAAAAATAAAGTAAGTGAAATGATTAAGAAATCGTATTTGATGATAATCTCTGTCTCCACATGCATATACCTCCACTTACATGTGTACACATAAAAAATGCACACACAGAAACTCACGTATTTTGGCATCCTGGTGCAGAGCTATAATCACAGAACTTAAGAAACTGTGAAAGGAGGATGAGGAATTCATGGCTTATGCAGCCTGAGTTGCATGACTCCCTGTTTCAAGAGAGAAAACAAAAATCTTCACATAAAACACTGTAACCTATGCAGTTTTTCCCTTTGTGCCTGTGGTTTTAGTATCACCCATGTGAGTCCTGGTCACCAAGACTAATTAATATACACATGAACTGTCTGAAAGTCTGTAAAAGCAGTTAATTCTTGGGATGCCTTGTTTCAGAGCTGGTGTAGTTGGTATACTATTGCAGAAATGTGTCTATGTGTCTCCCATAGACATGAAGACATGTCTTCTGTGTCCCAAGGAGCAGTACTCGAGCGATAGCAGAGACCACTGCCTGCCCAGGACAGAGATCTTCCTGGCCTTTGAGGAACCTCTGGGATTCATGCTGGCTTTGGTGGCACTCTTCCTGTGTAGTCTGGCTGTCCTGGTCCTGGGAGTGTTCCTGAAGCACAGGGACACCCCTGTGGTGAGGGCCAACAACAGAACCCTCAGCTACTTACTCCTGGTGTCTCTTTCCCTCTGTGCCCTGTGTGCCTTGCTGTTCCTTGGACGCCCCAGTGTGACCACGTGCCTCCTCCGTCAGACCACATTTGCTGTGGTGTTCACGGTGGCTGTCTCCTCCGTTCTGGCCAAGACTCTCACAGTGGTCATGGCCTTCAGGGCCACCAAGCCTGGGGGCAGGATCCGGGGTTGCCTGAACCCCAGAGTTTCCACCGCAGTGGTCCTCATTGCTTCCTTCATTCAGGTTGTTCTTTGTGGGGTCTGGTTGGCTACCTCTCCACCATTCCCAGACAGGGATGTGGTCTCGGAGCCCCAGCACATCGTCATCCAGTGCCAGGAGGGTTCTGGCACTGTCTTCTTCTGTGTTCTGGGCTACTTGGGGTTCCTGGCAGGGGGAACCTTCGCTGTGGCTTTTCTGGCCAGGGGTCTACCAGATGTCTTCAATGAGACTAAGTTCCTGACCTTCAGCATGCTGCTCTTCTGCAGTGTCTGGACAACCTTCCTGCCCCTGTACCACAGTGCCCGGGGCAAGTCCACTGTGGCTGTAGAGATCTTCTCCATCCTTGCCTCCACTGCTGGGCTTCTGGGCGGCATCTTCATCCCCAAGTGCTACATCATCTTGCTGAAACCAGAGAGGAACACCCTTGTCTGGCTCAGGAAAGTCCACTAGGCACAACAGGATAGGCAGAGTGAGATGCCCCAGAGAAAGTGTCTCCATGGGTCCATACTACACCACTTTGGGATCTAGTTCTTTGGGGAGTCACCTGGATCAACCAAGTGATTTTGACTCATTGTTCCAGGATTCAACAATGGTATTTAAAAGTTATATCAAAATAAAGCTGGACATTTTGAACAATAAACTTATGACTATCAGTTGATAGTGAACATACAGATGGTTGTTTACTACTGTCTCTATGCATTGATAAAGTTCATCACAATTAACTCAGTTTGAAAAGGGTAGTTGGGAAGATGCCTCATCTTGTACAAATATCACTAAGCATGATGACTTGAGTTTGACCCTCAGAACCCAGGCGTTGGAAGTGAGTTCTCCTGGCTAACTGAAGCAAGCACTCCCCCATATGCATACACAAATTATAAATGGAATAACGGGAAAAGGGTGATGGGCTGTTGCTGATGGTATCAAGGATGGCTGAGGGTGTGACAAATTGTCAGGGAGATCATTGATCTCTTTCTTTATTTTTCAGAGCGCCAGTATATGGGACTCAACCTTTCATTTACAATTCTGTTACAGACTTACCATGTAATTTAGCTTCCCACTCTTAGATATATACCCCCCCAAATGAAAATGAGTGCACAACTGTAAATCCATCTTCAGAGAACCTTTATTCATGTAGCTTATGTTCAAGCAATCTCAGTGTTTGTAGTTAGTGAATGCTTGGTTTGGATTTCTCATCACTAGGATATTATTTGTAATACAATAAATATAAAAAGAAATAATACTGTTTATTATATGGTTAAACACTGAGAATGTCACTTAAGAGTTAAGGAAGCTAGATAAAGAAAATAATGTGTTTTAACATTCCAATCCTCAAAGAAGCAAAACATAAAGACATATAGTAATCTAATAGCTTCCTGAGGTTTGCAGAGGGGTGATAGGCGATGAGGACTGTAGACTACAGGGTGCAGCATTTCTTTATGGCCTGCTGATATCTTAAACATTTTTTGTTGAGGCTGCAGAGGTGACTCTAATTGTTCAGATTACTTAGCCTCCACACGACCCAGGTGGTTGTCAGATCCCATGTCAGGCAGCTCACTGGCACATGTAATTCCTGCTCCAGGGGATCCAACACCCTGGCCTCTGTGTGCATCTGCTTTCATGTACCCATACTGCACTCATGCTTAATAAGAAAATGATTTGGATGAAATGACAGACTATGGACACCCCATGGAAGAACTCACCCTCCCTGGGGAAAGGAGGGGGTATTGGGTGGGTGATGGGTGGGGGTGGGAGGAGGGGAGGGAAAGGGTGAGGGATGTGAGATTGACATGTGAAGAAACCTGGTTTCAAATTGATATTAAATTTAAAACTAAAATTGTTTAATATAAAAAAAGAAAATGATTTGGTAATGGTTGTAAGACTTCACCAACGTGCTAAAGTCCACCACACTGTTATCTCCTTTTATTTATTGGAGACAGGCTCATTCCATACCTGGCAAAACCAGCAGAGACAGCTGATCTGAACAGGGGAGTGCTCTTGGACCCCAGACCGACAGTGGGGAGGCCAGCATGGGACTGATCTGGACCCCCCAAATGTGAGTGTCAGTGTGAAGGCCTGGGCAACCTATGGGGCCCTGAGCTGTGGATCAGTGTCTATCCCTGGTATACGAACTGTCTTCATGTGCCTATAGCACAAAGAGAGATGCTCTCTCAGCCTGGACTCTTAGGGGAGTGCCTTGACCCTACCAAGAGTAAAATGAAAGACTCTAGATATCCCCTATGTGGAAGGATTTGGCAATAGGGTGGGAGGGAGCGGGGGAAGGGGAGTGCGGGAAGAGGGGAGGGAGAGGGAACTGGGATTGACATGTAAAACAAGCTATTTAAAATTAAAATAAAAATGATATAAAAAAGATTATCAAAACAAAGTAAACTTAAAAAGGTCAACAAGATTTGGAGTTGGCCGCAGTTCAGATGGCAAGCCTCTTCTCACTACACACTCAGGCAATTACGTGGCATACACAGCAACAAAGTTAGATTAACTGAAGCTATCTCAACCCTACACAGAGATGTATTGATGAACAAAGAGTGATGTAAAAAAGATGATGTAAGAGTGAGATGTCAGGACCTCCCAGTCTTAGAAAAGTTAGCACATGCAGAGCCACCAGAGCCACTGTGGTGTCGCATGACGAAAGAACAACAGAATGCCAGGGTTAGATATATAAACCAGTTTTATATGTAAACATTGTGCTATGCCAGAGTTTGAGTAACAACTGCAGCAGCTTTGGCCTGAGGACATTTTTTGGGCATTCTGACCATTCAGAGTTAATAATAGACTGCATGGGACATGGCAGTCTTCCAGGGCTGGCTTGGAAATTTTGTTGTAGTCTAGTGTCCTTGTAGCCACAGAAGCTACTACCCTGAGAACAGGCTGTCATATGCCTCTAGATTCTTAAAAATTGGGCTATAGAGTTAATGAGTAAAAATGATAACTGTTTATTAATGATGTCAAAACTTGAGGGAAAAATGATTGGAAATGGTAACTCTGTTCTGCCATAGTTTATTAATGATGACTAAGAGATGGGCAAGATGAAGTGAAATGCATGTCCAAATGCTTTGGGACAGCACAAATGTATCCCTACCTACTGAATTCAGGATAAATAAAGAAGGACTCTGTCTGCTAGTCAATCAGGCTGCTAGATTCTCCTGACCATCATGGCCTGGCTCACTCCAGACCTTGTATATTCCTTGCACCCTCTTCTGGGACCTCTCTACCACTCCGATGGCTCCTGGCAGTATAGCAGGGGAGGGAAAGGACAGACAGAAGCTTGGTGTTGCGGCTGATAAGTGCTCTAGTCTTTTGTCTATGTGGGGCACAAGGCTCAGGCTCTGCGCACCCTGCCTTCCATCTTCTGAGACACCCAGAGGGAATGACTCACTGATCCACGGGGAGGTGGTGCCACCCATTGCGTTAATGCAATCAGGAAATAAATGAGTGATGAGTGAGAGGGAAAGGATGTCATCGATGCTTAACGAGCTCTGTCACCTTGGCTGTGCATTTCCAGCTTCCAAGGCCTGTTAAAGAGAGAAGTCTGCACTCTTTGGTGCAAGATCATTTCTGAAGATGAGCTTTAATGAAGTTAAAGGTGTATGGAGAAGCTCTACAGGAAACTAATGAAAGCAAAAATGAAAAATGTAAAAAGTAACAAAAGCTTATTAGGTGTGCCTATCAGGGAACCCCCAGAGTGAGGATAATTCATCCTTGCTGAGAAGAAATATTACCCAACACTGGTGTTTTTTTTTCTTGAATGTAGGAGATGAGCATCTTAGCCACTGAGCTATATTAAAGAATATCCCAAATGTATTCTGTGTTTTTACACTTCAGGTGTAGACTTGCCAGTCAGGATATCTCTCTGTGTGTGTCTCTGTCTCTCTATCTCTCTCTATCTGTGTGTCTCTTTCTCTCTCTTCCCCTTCCTTTTTCCCATCTCCTTCTCTCTCTTTCCTTCTGTCTCCAGTGCTTTAACTATCTGGGGAAAGGAATGTTATAGCTTATAAGATAAGCAGTTCATAGAAAGGAAGGCTGAAATGAAATGACCTCTTGGGTGAGTTGTGTAAGGACAGCTACAGCATTGTGGCCATGGGCAGCCCTGAAGAGACCCTGAAGAGCAACATCATGAACAGTGTCATGATTCTCCTGAAAGGGAAGACGCTTTCAGTTTCCTTCAGTCCTTAGAACATTAAGAGAGTTATAGCCTTGTATCACAGACAGAATAATGGGGTCTGGAAAGGAAAGACAGCCTCGCATTCTGGAACATCAGGGGAGTTGTAGGGTCATCCTGCAGACAACGTGATGGGGCCTTAAGGTGGAATGCCCCTCAGTTCTTCCTTAGTTCTAAAGAACAAGACCGAAGTTTCTTTCTAGCATAGACGTATATTTTGGTGTGTGCTAGTGGAGGAGTTCTACATCATGTGACTCAGCCTATGTGACCTGAGTTAAGACAGAGATGGGCACTGGATAAAGTTATAATTTAGGGTTTTCTGCTGGGAGAGGGAGAAAACTTGCCAAGACACATCACGTGCTGGTTACCAGTGCCCTGGAGAGAACTGCAGAAGGACATAGCCTGATTTATTGGAGGAATAAGCCATCAGAGGATCTGTGAACTAGCACGGTGGGGGTGGGGGAGTTTCTATGAAGCCTTACAGTTGTGCTGCTATGCGGTTGCCTTCAGATTCCCTTCCCATGTCCCCATTCCTCCATGTCTTCCAGGGCCATCTTTGGCTTGATGTGCACAGAGAAGCACTGAATATTCTGCACCGACACAGGCAGGACATCTAAGAGTCAAGCCTCTTACAAAAGAAACTTCCGGGTAGTACTGAAGGAAAGCCTACAGGCTGGTTATTGTGAGAATATCAACTTTAGTGTGGCCTTGTGAAATCCCAAGATACTGCTTTGTTATGGTCAGGACACAGACAAGAAGGGATTGAGAAAGTTCAAATGTCAAAGCAGCACAAGTCCTGGGAGGCTGGAGCCAGGTCACCATAGGTTTCCAGGAGGCATGGAATGGGGGGAACATGTGAAAGGTAGTCCAGGTTGATTCTAGGGCAAAGAACTGAGAAATTTGGACATTAGATTTAGTGACATTAAGATCACCCAAATGTGAATATCCATAGCTTCACAGTATCTATAGTAGGAATGAAATGTACAGACCAATTTCCCTGTATGATTTTTTTTATTTGTGGGATCTTTATAATAAAGTTTTAGTAAAACCAATAAAAGATGTCTGCAAAATAAAAAAAAAAGAAAATGATTTGGTAATGGTTGTAAGACCTCACCAACGTGCTAAAGTCCACCACACTGTTATTTCCTTTTATTTATTGGAGACAGGCTCATTCCATACCAAGCAGACTGGCTTCAGACTTATAGCAATCCTCTTGCTTTTACCTCCTGAGTGGTGGGATTTTAGGTGTGCTATCATACCTGCAAAGTTGTTT